TAGTGCCTAAAGATTACTTTGTGCAGCTATAAACGACCGTTAAATGGAGTGATGAATTTTTGAAGGATTTAGAAAACAGGAAAAATGATAGTCATGCAGGCCCAGCATCATCAATGTTGAAAAATGCCCCTGCACGAAGTGGTTAAAACAGTTTAATCGATTCTGATTGATCAAGAGTGTGTGCTCATGGCTCGCCATACACATGCTAATTGGACAATTTGCACAAGGAATAATCCATAAATACCCCAAACCCTGGTATACGGTTTCAAAATAACGCTGGATTATCACCACTTTTGAGAGTGAAAAATGCCGGTCATGCCCAGCAGCCTGGTCTTTTGTTCGGAGTACGGTCTTTTGTTACAGAGCCCTGTTTCCTTTGTCCGAGTTCGGAGACCCCAGCCACACATATAAACCATACGGCTCTGATCCCGGAGTCCCCGGCTGGTAGTGGTTAAGACCGGCCAAGCACATATTTTTTCCCTTGATAATGAATACTTCTAAGAAGAAAGTGCCTCCCACGATTGAAAACTTACAAACTTGCTGTAACTTGGTGGTGTTATCACAGTGTTTCCCTGTTGTACAATGTATGTATACTTTAAACATATCCAAACAGACAAGAACCCCATTTCATTCCTCATTTGAAAAAACAACTATTGTACTTGATGCTACCACTTTTTCATGTTTTGGAATGAAGAAATACTACATCAGTGTGATGGATGTTTAAATGTTTGTGTAATTGTCGTTTTTTGAATTATGTGTACTTACATGAACATCTTTTTGCACAGTTTTTGCTGTAGATGCACCTGGATGCATAGGCAGTACTGAATTGCCCCAACATTCTGCTGGTCTCACTCAGAGTGCCGTCAAGGAGATGTCTTTTACCTCAGGCAGGCAGGATGCATTTGGTTATCACAACATCAGACGTGACACCGCCTTCTTGTATGTTGTCAATAATGCACCAACTGGCATTGCCGTATGGGGACAGTCCCATGAGTGCTATCAGGTACATATATGCCTCATAAGGCCCTTTCACATGAATGATGGAAACACACATCTGCAAATGTAAATGCTGCAACAGTACAATGCAGCACATTAGCGAACATCCCTCATTTTGAAACATTAATACATTTGCAGTATGGCAACATTAAGCTGAGTGTCACACTCTGGCACTGTTTAGAAATTGATAATCTATAGAACACTACTGAGGAGAAAAGAGTGGATTCATTTCAACATTGTGAATTCAATTTGGCACATACACTCAGACTGGTGCAGAAAACTTTGGGTACATACATGTACATGCACATGTACCGTACATGTATGATATGCAGGCAGGAATCTGAAAGGACTTGTCACTTGAAATGCACTGGTATGTGCATGTATGTGGGACCATGGCCTTTCAAAGCTTCTACATGTATTTTTGTTAATCAGGTACAACCCACTCACCTGTTTACAATTGTTCGAATAAAATAAATGAATGCTTTGTCTCTCCATCTTTCTTTTGGCAACCAAACAAGCATCGGCATTTCACCAGCACTGTTAAAGGTATAAACTTAAACTTTGAACATGTATACTGACCTTGATCTGAAGTGGCACATTTACCGGTAGTTTGATGCAAATGCCATCATGACATCATCAGGTGACTAAAATCAACAACTTGATACCTCAGAAGAAACATGTAGGTCTTTATTTTTGTCATGGTGGAAACCAGAGGGGCATTGTACCGGTACATGTAATTTAAAACTTGTATGAGATACAAACTTGCTCTAAATAGTGTTAGTCTCCAGCAAAATAGTATTGTTCAAAACTTGTACTAGTGATGTCATTAAATTCTACAGCAACCTCTAGTGACTGGTTGAAAAATTTCGGAAATTAATTTTCCTTTGACGTCTGTGGCGAAGTTGGCTGTAATTGCTCAAAAATTGACTGTAATTGCTCAAAAGTTTGATGACCTTTACACAAGCAATAAATGTATAACCATGGTCAGAAAATCCCAAACCAATTACATTGTACCATTAGAAAAAGGTTTCTGGTCACAGTTGTGACAACATTCCCCAGATTAGTTTAAGGTTAACAGGAATTGAAAACATTTAGTTCACATAAAGTATTTCAAAATTACAGTAAATTTGTTACCATTTCAGAAATATCGTAAATTTAATGTTTGCCTCATTAATTGTGACCCCCAATGAATAAAAAGATCCTGCATTTCCCCACCCACAAAAAAATTCCTTTTTGGCCGTTCACGCTCCCAGGCTGTTGGATGACGTCATTGCCAGATAGTGTTTGCCTGTGGACCAAGTTACATCAAACACAGCATGGTCTATTGTGAGTGTGGGATACTGCATGTACTGTGCGCTATGTACGTGCATGTGTGTACATGTACATGTCAGCCTTCTGGCGATGACGTCATCCAATCAGCCTGTGAGCGCGAATTGCCAAAAGGGGATTTTTTGTGGGCAGGGAAACACAGGATCTTTGTCTTCATATTGAGGTCACAATTAATTGAGTAAATATTAAATTTGTGATGTTTTTGAAATGGAAACGTTTTTATTGTTATTTTGAAATACTTCATGTGAACTAAATGTTTTCAATTTTTCTTACCCTTTTAAAGCGGTATAATGTATGTGTACCATGTTATCGTTTTAGTATGCACTTACATATATGTACATGTACATACATGTATACCGTTGACTCTCGCTAATACGAGCTCGGGTAAGACGAGACACCGGTTTAGACGAGCATATTTGCCAGTCCTGACTGAATTGTGCACGTTCCTTTGACTGAAAAAATGTGTAATACGAGCTTGGATGATACGAGATTTTGGTTAAGACGAGCATTTTTTGTGCACTGGTCGAGTGCAAATTTATTGTTATCTGTCCATTTAGCACAAGCTTTTTTAAAGGCAACTTGTCAATCAGCCAGTCCATTCAATTTTGAAAGGAGCTTCCATAATTTATGCGTGTACAGTAGAATAGCATTGCAGTTTTCCCTCGCCGAATCAAGCCGTTTGTGTCTGGTGCTGCAAGAGAGATGAATAATGGGCATTTGCTGTTCCCGTACCCAACATAGAAATTCTATACCGCCTGAAAACAAGCGAGTGCCGCCAAAAGCACTATGATATTCTATTTAGGACAGTGGCTTTTGATTCCCCCGCCCCCCAAAAATTCCCCAAGACCAAAGTCCCCCCAGGAAACTAATAAAATTTGTGTGCCGTAACCAAACACCCAGCCCAAAAAACTGCCCACCCTCCGTCTAAAAATCATTACCCGCTCCACAGTCCCCACCGTAACATGAAAATATTGCCCCTTCCGATTTTGACATTCATATAAGTTCTCAGTTTAAGAAACCATGGTTTTCAGTCCAAAAATGTTTAAGAAAATAACCTAAAGTTTGGAAGAAAAAAGTGTATCCCTCGCTAATAATTTTTCACCAAGCCCACACACCTTTCCCAATTAAATCTGATATTTGCCCTCTGCTGTCCACAGCACCAATAGCTGGTTTCCTCCCATTTTTATGTGCAACAAGCACAGCTCTGGTGTTGATTACCATGCAACTAAAATGTTAATGTACTGTACTTACGTTACGTGTGTGCATGTGGATCTCATGGCGTGCGGGGCCGGGGACGTGTCTCTCCAAATGGACATGAATGGTTGAAATTCCGCTTCCTCCGTTCCTACATTTTATAATTATTTTTTATCACAAGTCTTTAGTCATTAAACTGTATCCCATAAACAAACTTAAACAAAACTATACTGTGTGCCTTTAAACAAAAAGTTATGCATACTTGCACACATGTACGCTTTACCTACGGTCGATTGGTGATACATATGTCGAGCAGGACGGCAGTTTTTGCATAAGACGAGGTCTGGATAATACATGTACGAGCTAATTTTGTAAGTCCCAAGGCCTTCGTATTAACGAGAGTTGACTGTACATATAAATACATTGTAGCTTCAACAAATTATACATGTATGTAGGTGTGCAAATGATGTACAAATACATCAAATGTTTTCCCTGTGTGGGGAGTGGAGGAGGAGGGTGGGATTTTAAGAAATTCTAAGCCCATGAAATGCCTGAAATTTTGTGATGCTGTATCTTTGTTGTCTCAGTGTAAACTTCTAAGGCTTGTGGAGGTTTCTGGGAATACAAGCCTGCTGGTACCGGTATATCTGGATACATGGTGGAAATTGACTTTGGCAGTAACTCATGCCAATGAAGACAAAGTCAATGCCAGCACTGTCCTTTGCAAGTACGTAAGTTCCACATTAAAGTTTTTGTTTCGATGCCAAAGAACAGAGTGATGCATGGCACAATACACTACAAAAAGGCATTGTTTCATCTACTATTTCCTAAGCAGCTCGTCCTCCCATGGTGCACTTAAATGTACCTATCCTTCGTGATCTGAAAATACTGTACCCTATTAAACGTTTTATGGGCAGATATCAAAAACATCAACTGGTATTCAAAAAGGCATTCAAGTTGTCAATTCCTTCTCACTCAATGTCCTTCACAATGACTCTCTGAGCTTGTAAACTTGCTGTTCTCCATATTTCACATTGTCAGTGAATGGAGACCAATTGTTTAGAGAACTTTGTGCATGAATGTAATGTCACCTCGGTAAGGGAATCTCATTGATTAGTCTATAGAGCAGGCAGTTTGATGTAAAAACAATTTGATTTGCGTCTGAAATATGCCATTCTTGTCATTAGAATTTAGAAAAAGAAGGCGTACCATTTCTAAGCTACGCATAGTGTGTTATAGTTGAAGCCACTCATGGGTGCGTACATGTAGACCAGAAAATCGGGGTATCTTGGTTACGTGTAGCTGGAAGGATTTTAAATATTTCTCAACTTTTTATCAGTTCCCTTGAGATCTGACAAGATTAAATGCTGCAGTTTTCTAATCACATTCTGTCACTTTAGCCAGTTGACGGAACATTTTGGTGAGAATGGCAACTATTCACTTTTCATCAATGTGAATAAAAGTGCGACCGACAACTCAGATGTATGCCTCATTTTTACGAATAGAGAACCAGACAATGCCAATATACGTAAGTACATGGACATTTTCTGTAATGTTTGGAATATACATGTACACTACTGCTAAGAATTTACCGTGCCTATATTCCTGCACCTGATTGCTGTTGCTCTCAAATTGTGGGAGAGGTCCCGCAGACAAAAACCCTAATCCAGCCTTCCTGGAAATTGAACACAGCCTGGGCATAGTGTAAACCACAACTTCACACCTTCTGTGGGCATCTTGACAACGCTTCTTTGGTCCTCACTACTCATGGCATTTCTCTTTGGAAACAAGACCGATAAAATAGCTCACATGCACTTATGGCAAAACCGCACTTTAACTTTAAGTCCTGTGATTTTGAAACTCAAGCTTAGATATGAATATAAAACAAGTCTCCCTGCCATGATGTACGATACCCGTTATTATCCTATGAATATTTTTTTGTAATTTTATTTTTTCATGATTGCACCAAATTTAAATGATTTTAAAGGACTGCATGAGCTGTAATTGAAGTCAGTGCAGTGTAAACTTGGTGAGGCGTTTTTCTTTTTAATTCATAAGCATCAGTGATGTTACCCTCATTAGGTTGAGCCTTGAATGAATCTTCTGTATCACCTTCATCATGCTCATGACTCAGGATATTGATGAGAACCAGGACTTGCACTCCGTCAGTTGGAGCCCCATGAATTTGGTTTAATTTTTTAGACTGTGTTTATTTTTTCACAAAGAGTGGAATCAGTCATGCAGGAAAGCGAAGCGCATAAGGCTCAATGTACACGCTGTTGTCTTCCGTGATTGCATCAGGTACATTGTACATGAATCTCAGGGGTAAGGAGATTGGGGTCAGTGTGATTTTTAAGCTACTCGGAGTGAAATTAGCATGAAACTAAATTTTGCGTCTTGTTGTAGGGTGTAGGTGTTATAACTTTTGACAAAACTGACGCTATTCTACTTGGGGAGACTAAGCGTTTTGTTTGAATAGTAAGTAAGCAATTTCGGATCATCCACAGTTCGGTACTGTAACGGCAACCGAAACAGGTCCAACCGCCAGTAAGGGGAACTAACTATATTTCTATTAAGTAAAAAAAAAAACTCAGTAAGAATACAAGAAAGGAAATTCAAATTACACCTTCAACAACTGAATTTATTAATTTAACAGGCGCTTTTTCACCTATGATAAAAACACACGGGGAGGGCGAGTTACAAACGAAAACAGTCTGAAACTGTGTAAAATAGTAGCAGATGAAGACCAACTATGGTGAAACACCATGGTCGAGGCATGCCAAAGGATATGGGCACAAGCTAAAACTAAAGAAAAATAAATTAGAACATGCTCACAGAAAGACTGCGCAAACCATCGAACCCTTTCCAGAAAAATTAATTGTAGTGGTGGTGCAAAGTAATAGCAAAAAGATATTTCATTCAACTAAGGATCCTGCAGCAGGAACTAAAATGGAAATAAGGGAACAAAATTACATACCACCATCCACCACCATGCCCAGCCTTAAGTCCACACCTACTAGCCTAACAGGCAGCTTTTATGAGCCTGTAGAGAAAGTTATGTAAGAAATGTTGCACCACTGCTAATAGAAACAAGAAAAGGAATTCTTAAGACTGCAATGAACAAACCAAATTAGCATTACTGAGGAAAACAGGTCCCGGCCAGGGCTCCAGGGTCAAATAAAATAACAAAAGATTAATGAACAATAAGGGCCTGCAGTACTGTGGCCAGACCACTAACATTTTAAAGGAACTTACTCCTTAACTTGAAAAAAGGAAAAGACCCAAATTTTGTTACAGTACTGTGTCTGATCTGGCTAATTGTTCTCACAAAGCTGCGGCAGCAAGGAGTCAGAGGGACCTGAGTGAGAGCATTGGGGGAATTGTTCCTGCAGAGCTGCGGCAGCAAACAAAGGGACCTGAATGAGGGTATCGGGCCAATTGTTCCCGAATGGGAGAATGGATTGAACAATTTAGTGCATCGAACACAAGGCTCCAAAATGACGCGCAATATTTTCTTCACTCGTTGCCCAGCGCCCGAACAGGCAGGGTGGGCGATGAGCGAAAATACGGTAGTTCCTTGCCTAGACAAGGGAACCAGATTATTATTATAAATATTCATGGTACATGAATAAGTGATAAGGTGTCCCTTGTTTGACCTATCAATGTTGTGTTTTTTCTGCACTCATTGTCTTCGTCCTTGGATCAACTTGCTCTGCATTTCTTTAGCCTTCAAAACCCACTTAATTATGTTTGCACTGGAGCTAAACTTTTGACCGGGCTCCCCATATATTAAACATTGTGTGCAGGAGCGTGTTCAGCTGCAGCTTAACAATTTGAAAATGAGATTTTTCTCTGTTTTCATTTGTGGACGTGCTGGCGCAGACTGCGTCCTATCGACCATTTCGCCACATACTGGAACCCGTGTGGCCTTCGCTGCAGAACAGTGATACCGGTGCACGTGTTCTGCCGTTCACTCAAGTTGGATCTGTTTCTGTTGGATTGCCTCTTTTTGCATACCTGCGTGAAAAAATTAAAGAGAAAAATAAAACAATAATAAAATGTCAATGAGCAGGGGGTTGATCTTCACCCTACCCTCTGGATCAGCGCCTGTTTCAGTATTTATTCGCTTATTGGCGGCTTTTTTTAACACGCTGTATTATATTTTCATACCCTTTTAATGTATACGCACATGTCATGTCATGTCCACTTTTTAAGACAAATCGCAAATCAGCAGACTTTTCAAGTTACATGTTTTTCGAGGAACCCAAATTGTGTTTGGGTAGGTTCTCAAAGGGCACATTGTTGAAGACTAAACCACAGTTTGTGAATACGTGTTTACATGCACGTGTAGATGTTGGAGTTTTCCTGTTATTATTTTGTGAGGTAAAAAAAATGCATTACATTTGCTGTACTTCTGGCGGCCTTTCTCACAGAGCAGATTTAGTGCTTTTATTTACAAGGACTACCGAAAAAACAAGGCTATTTCATAAATGAAGCGTTGTTCAGAAATGAACGTGATATAAATAAAATACCATGGTCTGTCATAAAAATCAGGCAACACGGCGTTGTGTCACTCATTCTGTTAAGCTTTGCGGGCACTGTGCCTGCAGTTAAGAGTTTCCAGGAAAGGGTGTGGCACTCCCTTTGCCCTTTGTTAATCCCTCCCGCAAATAGGGCAAGTAGGCACGGTAAATTCTTAGCGGTAGTGTAGGCCATGCAGAATACAAGCCGCAGCACACAAACGTCTGCAAATTACAATGTAAGATTGAAAGACGGTGTATTAGCCACAGTGGTTTATAAGCCACACCGCACCTTACGATGTCCAAGCACAAATGTCATTGTGCTGCATGCTGAAACATGACATGTAGTTCATTTATGTTCATGTAAATGGTTTCATTACACATACAATCCTCAAGTGTAAGGAGCTTGTGAACGAGTTTCACTATTAAAAAGACTTTCACAAGTCCTCAAATTACTAATTTTGGCGTGCTGGATGAGTGTCCTGGTTTGGTTGGTCACACAGCTTTTTTTTTTTTGACGGGGTGGGGAAGGGAATGAAAAACGAAATAACTTTTTCCAAGTGGCCAACAAAAGTTACATGGAATTGGGAGGATGAACTAATATGCCGACACCGGTAAACTCGGTGGTTGAGTGGTGAAGACGTCTGCTCTAGTAAGCAGGAATTTGTGGGTTTGAGTCCCACCTGAGTATGCTTTTGGTTTTTTCACAAGCCATCGGGGGCAAACACTGAGAATACAGTGTTCAAAATTCACGTTGTGCAGGGCAAAAATCCAAAATTTATGTGAAGTTAAGTTTGAAAGATTAAAATATGAGGGTTTTTGATGTGAAAGAATTGCTAATGTGCTAATGGATTATGAGCACTTTACTCAGCATCCTCGTTTGTGACCCTTCCTCCTCATCTGTGTTAATTAATAGTGTCTGTGTAAGCTGACCATTATGATGTGGTTTCAGTTTGTAAAGCTTCCAAATTCTAAAGTCAAAAATTCCTCCATGGCCACAGTCACCAATTGACCAGTAAAATACAGTAAATAACGTGGATTTACATACACAACAAAACCAAATAGAAGCACCATACAATTTGTGAGGTGTGAATGGTACTTGCAGTACATTTGCAAGTCTATTCGTATTTCCAACACGTGAGTAGAGTGAACCTTAACAGCTGCCAGTGACGATGACTGCCTGGCTTGGTGCACCACCTTTAACACATGACCCTGGCTGAGGTGCAGCTTTTCATGACTAATTTCGTTCTTCAAATGCTACTGTGTAAGCCCAGAGTATAAGCCGCAGGGATATTTTCCTGTATGAGAATCAATGTACCAGTACTGTATAAGCCGCAGCCAGATACCCTGAGCAAACATACTAGTACATGGTACTGGCATGTTTGCTCAGGGTACCAGTATCTGAGTCATGTGAGTTGGCACACAGCTGGCTGATGGGGCTCATCTTATGCTCATGTAATGTACCGGTACCATATTTATTTTGATGTACCAGTAGTTTCCCATAGGACCTCCATGTACGTACATGTACATGTATATACACATGTACAGTGTGCTTGATTTTACGTCTGCACTGTTGGAATACTGGACGGATCACTGGACGGATATATCTCTGACATGGAGGTTGTTCCATGAAAATCCCTCTTTGTTTCCTGCAGCCATCTACGTTGCAATGGGAATCTATGCATTTCTTGCCCTGATGTACAGCTTGTTCAGTTTTGGCTATAGGTAAGTTCACGTAAGGATGTTTGCTTTCCAGAGTGGTTTCAGGGATACCAGAATCTTAACACTACTTGGGACAAATCTGAATCTTGTTTCTAGAACTAGGTTTATGTCTTTGCTGGTTGCATGTACATTTTGACAATAGACACATGTAAGTTCATAACAGAATTCATCAACCAAGGAAAATGCAAATCTAGGAAAGCATAGTTTGACTCTAACTGCAGGACTTACATGTAGTTTTGATATTTGAAGGTCTTTAACATATCGAGTTGTTAGCGTCTAACTTTAAATTGCATCCCTAGCATGATGTGAATAAATGGCCATGTCCGTCTTCTCAAAGCAAAAAACATTCTTTAAATTCTTGAAAAAATTGACAAATTTTGCCATTCCTGCGAAAGCAACCATGATTTTAGGATCATGAAGCAGAGGCATTCTTCATCTATTATCTGCTTAATTCAACTTTAATAATAAACCATCTACTAAGATGAAAATAATGGCAACTTGTTTTGAAGTTGTAAGAAAACAATAATGCATTCTCTGTGATTTTGTCCATGGCAACCACTCTGCTATAATAGGTATGTTTTCACAATAAACATACATTGTAGCATTGTATTATTACAGAAGATAGCTTGTCAGACATCTGAAAGAGGGCACATAATAGAAAAATGTTAGTTTTTGATTCAAGTGCTTGGTGTTTGTTAGAGTTGTGCACATGTTACATGTATATTTTGTGAAACTGTACACTGTAGAATTGAAAGTTAACCTCAAAAGTGGGAAAATTTTTCACACTTTTTCCCATCCAAGAAAATGAATATTCATTTCAAAAATTGTGAAAAATTTTCCCCTCAGTGGGAAAAATTTTCATACCTTTTTTCCACAGGTGTGAACAATTTTCATAAGTGTGGAAACTTTTCACAGGTTTGAAAACTTTTACACTTACACTTTTACCCAATTGAAAATCAACTTAACCCCAGCCCCAACAAAATTAAGTTTTAAGTATAAAGTTCACAAGTACATGTAGCTGAACAGTTGTCAAGAACATCCCCTAACCACACTAATTTTTTAGTTAAAATTGAGAGGAACAAAGTCAGAAGAGCCACCAAACATGATAGTACTTGTTATTTATTTTGGAAAAGCAATAATAAATACAGTGATTACCATAGACAAAATCTTGGAAGGCAGTCTGTATGTGCCTGTGTATTGCGGCACGTGTGAGGCTACTGCGTGCAGATGCTGTATTGACTGACCGCCATGCACACACGCCTGGCCACTGCCATTTGGAAATCACAGTGCACTTCATTGCTCGGCAGTCATGCATCCACATTCTCAATCTAAATCTCAATCTTTCTGAGCTGTTTCCGAGCCGTTCTTCACAAAAATAATACCTAGTTTCTTGTACATATAGATGTAACAGAAAGGCTCTAAAATTCAACTTGAAAAAGTCAGCTTTTTAGTGGATCAAACGTCCAGAAAACTCCACCTTCTCTCCTTCCTTTGTGGAATTTTTCGTGAGGAGTTCAGGCAACTCAAACCCTATTCATTCATGCAAAAATTGATAAAAAAATGGGGTGGTCCCTGGGGCTAGAAATCAGTTTACTTCATCGTGTCTTCGGGGAGTCAGGCGACCACTTGTTTGTACACAAAATTGATCCATGAGCACAACACGTAAAACCCATTTCAGTCCCAACACGTGTAGGCCCAGGACACAACTACATGTACAACTCACATCTGTTGAGAATGTGTTTGCTCCGTGCCTCTGACATCAACATCGTCCAGAATCTATCCAGCCTAGATGAGCAGGTTTTCGCACCGACATTTTCACACTTTTTTCACATCATTTGTACATCATTTTTGCACAGTTTTCACATTACTTTTGCACACAAATTTTTGCACAGTTTTCACAAATTGTTCGTACGATGCAGTTTTCGCACATTTTTCGCACCATTTTTGCATATTTTTGCACCAGATTCTCTGTGAATTCACAGAAGGTTAAAGTGGCAGTGAAAATGTTCGCATGCAAATTCTTTTCCTTTTTTTGCAGTCGGTTTGCCAGGGTTAACTTTTAATTGCACTGTAGTGTACATATACATGTACATTGTACACTATACAATGTACGTGTATACTGTTTGTACATGTAATGTGCCGGGATTCCGAAAGTACTTTTACTTCAATCCAGTGATCAACATTGTTTGGAATACATGTATGTTGTACATACATTATTTTGACTTAATGTTTTTTATATCTTGCACAACAGGAATGGTGTGTTAAGTACCTTCTTCAATTGGTGCATCACAGAAGGAGTGGTCAATAGCGTAAGTCATTGATTTATTCATTTAAAAGGCATGAAGTAGATGTCACCCAAAAAGCTTGATAGGTTTTTCACACATGTGTTTACATTAATCTCAGGCCCCAAGCAAAAATATTACTTGTACATGTATGTCTCACTTTGAATTGCCAGCCAGCTTCTAAGAAGAAAAACAACTCTTTTCATACTTGTTTTTTCATTTGACAAGAAGACAGCTTGTGAGCTGCTTGTGTAGGAAATGGAGCCTGAAAGTTGACCCCTAATCATAAGGCCCACTTCCGGTACCCTTGGATAGGAAAAAGACTCTGCAAAAATTTCAAGATTTCCATTTTTTTTTTCATTTGTTTACTTCATTATAAATCACCTCAGAAAAGGGCGTTTGTAAATGTTTGCAAGCACATTAGTTGATAGAAACTTAAACAATTTACTGACCTGCCAAAAATTGGCCCTCTCACTTCCAAACTTTTAAAATACATGAAGATCAGTGCAGTTCAGTGAATTTTTCTGCACATGTCACTGATTCTTCTGTATGTTTCAGTAGTGAGCCAAAATTTGCCCTCATTACATTTGATTCAGAGGGTTTATACCATACACATGTTAGTGTTTATTCTCACCTGTTAAGTCACAGCTTAAGGACTGTTCAGTATACATGTACAAGTACGTGCATTGCACATCAAACAAATCTCAAAAGTTGGGAGGATCTTCACCTGGATGAGATGAGTTGCTGGCCTACTTTGGTCTTTGATTGCATGTTTTAAGCTTGTTTTCATGTTTTGACAGCTAATGTACATGTGTACATGCACTTCTCAGAATTATGGCCTCTGCGCTGAAACAAGAAAGAGCTTTGTCACCAATCAGCAACATAATTAGTATCTGACACATTGTACGTTTATGTATTCCTGGCGAGTCCCTACATGTACAGTGTATAGGTAGGGCAGGGGTCTTTGTGTATATGCCTAGTTCATGCTGCCATTGATATGAAGTGCCTTTCTTTGTGTCACCAAATGAGGGGAACACATGTACGTCTGTATGGAATCTATACAAGGGTAAAGTAAATTATGCAAAACAAGTGGAGCTAAGTTTAGCCCTTGGGTATTTGTGAAAAGGTTGGAACCAGGGGGCCATCCTACACAGACCTGGGGCCTTTTTGCTGATTTGTTGTTAGTCTCTGTGTTGTAGATAAAGATATCAAGGTGTACTTAGATATTAACAACACATTCAAAGGGCAAAACTTTAAGGACTAAGGAGACTTAATTATTAAATCATGTCGTCATCAGGCTCACTATTGCCAGTCATAATCAAGTCATCTAGGATCATCAGCAGGCCTCAAATTTCGCAACGGCCACGGCCGTCGGTGCCCTCCCATGTGGCCGTGGTGCCTCTGAAAAGATAGCAGTGCCTTTTTTTCTTTTGGCCGTAGTGCCCTACATGTGCATATTGTAACGGCGACCCCTTTGTAGGGGCCACGCCCGCCAGTTGAGAACACAAACTCAAAATCAGTCAACTGAACACAAGTTATTTATTTTGGTCTCCAGAAAAAGTATAAAAAAAGAACATTTTATTTCTTAATTCTCTCTAAAAAAAAATAAAAAGGAGTGAGATTAACCAGGCAACATGTACATGTAGGTCCCCATAGCACTCAACAACCTAGCAAACAAAATACAAACTTACATGATGGAAGAGAGACACTGACGGACGGCAGTAACTTATACAAAATAAACAGGCTACAACTAACTTCACACTGTATACAGAAAAAAGACCGTGGCCCGTCAAGCTACAGAGATGTGTCCCCAGCCAGAGTGTTCTGTGGAAATGCCTCACCCAGTGTTGTTGTTGCTGTTTTGGTTTTAATGGCGCTTTCATACACTTTATGAATCAGCATCATATTACGGAGTTAGAAAGAAGATCAGTTTTAGTGGCAGGAGGAAACGAAGTGCCCGAAGAAAACCTGCAAGAGCGAGTATGGACTGGAAACCAAATGCACTTAAAGCCTGGGCCAAGCTGGGACTCGAACCCGGGCCTCATTGGTGGCCTCACCCAGTGGTAGTTGCATGGGCGTTTTATACCCTCCTAGCAAACCATCAGTGGAATGCTGGAAGCAGTCCATTGTACCTTTGTACTTCATCTCAATGGACATGGCCCAGCACCCCCAAAAAGGAATGTGCCAACACAAGGAACGTACCACCAGCTGGGTCTTGACCCAGCGCCAGAGACCTTTTGTTACATTACTCTCTCCACAGAAGAAGGGGCGTCCTCGCTCCTTCATATTACTATATACACATCCTAACAATCATGCACATGAATTTAATGGTAATTTTCCTTGCAGGAATTTTGTATTTAAAAAAAAAGGAACTTATCCAATATTAGACTGCCCCCGTTCAACAAGGTACACGAAAAGCGGCATGGAAAGCGACATACATATCGTTACGCATTCCATTATCGTTCACATTTGACTGGAACACCACGCAGTGAAACCCAAATGCATGGCATGCATGCATATGCAGGGCACGCGTGCACTGTGTGTAAATGGGGATTTCATACACTCGGCCCACCGCGCAACGGCGGCCTGGCTGGCCCGCTCCATGCACACTGCACGATCGCAAGCGTGGCACAAGCGACACCCGCTGGCCTATCCAACGACTTAACATAACAACAGAGCATGCCCAAGCCATGCATTTTAATGTACCATGTAACAATGCTAGTCTAAAACGAAGTGCTTATCAACGTGTAGTCGTTAACAGTATATCAAGAGCTCCACCTTTTTCATGCGCACTGGTCAATTGCTTGGTCTTGGCAGCATTTTAACTAACACTGCAATGTAATGTTTGCAGTTTAGTGCCACGCGCTGTGCGCGATCCAAACTGTACATACACGACATCGGTCGATCGGGACTACCTTGATTCTCACGCACATGTATGTTTTGTGTGCAAAATCACTGGCCTGGCCAGTTTTTGTGGTAGGCAAAATGCCGAGGAAAGAACGGCTGCAGTCAAAACAGGCCGAAGCCTTTCAACACTTGGCTGCTGGTGTGGCACTAATCACGGACATGTTCAGCTATAATGTGTATCCTACTTTTTCTTTTGGCCTGAATGAATATTGATTTTCATGCTATAGGCCTATAAAAAAACATCAGGATGGCAATAATGCCCATAACTTTGGTACGCCAATGGCATTAATGCCCTCACATTTGGCATTACTGCCGTTTATTTCAGCCAGTCCACCAATGCGAAATGGCAGTGCCCTAAAAAAAATGAAGTTCGAGGCCTGCATCAGGTTATCTTGGTCTTCAATCTCTGACTCTGCTCCAGGTAAAGTGATAACTTTCCATTGATTATAATATTTTTCTAGGACCTAGGATCACCACCCTCTCGCCAACCGATTACAACTAATACAAGCGTCAACAAGGACCCTCCCAAACCACGCAGACTCAAATCCCTGGATGCATTCAGAGGGTATGTGGTATCTCTGACCGTTTTGTCATTTTTTTAAAGTCTTTTGTATCGGATGAGATAGTAACCTGCTTGGAGCGGGAACATTCAAATTTGTGTGCATTTGACGCGGGGAACGCTTGGGCATGACGTCCATATTATTTTTATAGGCACGCCGCGGTCCACTGGCCGGCACTGCACATGTACGCACAGCAGCCTCCTGCAGCCTGCCGATGTGCAGCGCCGTGCGGCGCTGGTAGAAAACATGCATAACAATGGAACAAATTTTATGACACACACAGACCGCTGCGGTGCGCTGCCACTGATGTGCCTTTTTTAATAGTACGTGCAACAATTTTTTCTGGAATGTATAATCTTCTTGTGCATGCCGAATGTGTGCAGGAAAACTTTGCACTAGGCTGTAAGGGTGCACTTCAACTCTGGGTGGATATCATAATCATCTCCTGAGTAAATTTCCATTTCATTAGTGAGTCATCAATCACATCATTGACTTATATGTATTGTTTTATTCAGAGATGGGACCATTAAATATACCCTGATATTCATAAATATACTCTTGAACTGCCTCGCCTACAGTAGGCATATTCGGGGTTCTCAAGTGTACTCATACTTGAGTACATGTTGGCACTTCTCATCAAAATGTACTCTAGAAAGAATTCCATGTATGATGCCACGTGCAAAAACCCTAGGAGACTGATTGCAAAAATCTGAGTGTTTCTAAGACAATGCTTTGACAGTTGCCCTCCTCAATTTGACTTTCTAAAAAAATTTAATTACTTTTGGATGGCCAATAGGTCACTGCAGGGAAAAATGAGTGGCATCTGTTTATGGAATTTTTTCCTTTACTCCTACTCATACTTTTAAACGATTTCCTTGAGCTTGCTTTTGTTCACTTGCAGAAGTTCTCATATTCCTACGCATAGAAATATGTAAATGACCACAGCACTGACAATCACCTTATGCCTGACTGATTTGTGTGATCATTATTTCGCATTTGTTGAATCATCACTTATGAATGTGTAGCTGCAGTTTCAATTATATTGTGCAATGACAGGGAAAATCTTACTACTTATTTGTTGGCTCCCAAAATAGCACCGGCAGTTTTACTCATACTCATGGAAATATGTACATGTATTCCACTGCATGTACCGGTACATTGCCGCAACTAATCACAGGCAATTACATCTACATTATATCATTGAACACATTGGTTTGGTAATCCAATTTTGCTTTAGAAACACATTTGTCCAGCGCTTAGTAAATTGAGTGTGCATAGCAGCTCTGTGTAATGCAGACTTGCATGTCAGCAGCTGATTATTACCATATGAGTCTGCAGTGCATTTCATCAATGAGTGCTGTCAACTGATACTTGAATTACTCTTGCCAAGTGCTTGATTGACAACTGTGGTTTTGATTCTATAGTTAACTATTTGTAACCAGTGGTCCCAGGTTGGTCACATCATAGCCCCATCACATTGTACGAAAGGGAGCTATACAAATGTGAGACTGTGTGTTTGAGGTTTGACTGTTTTCTGTGACCTGCAATTTCATTCAAGGGCACACTCGCTGGACATGTGTTCATCATGAATTTGACATTTCTGTCTGAATATACGTGTATGAACTGATTTTGATGTTAGCAAAATGCTGTTTCTTCCTTTGCTTTTATAGGATTTCCATTGTCATCATGATATTTGTCAATCATGGCGGAGGTGGTTATTGGTTCTTCATCCATGCACGCTGGAATGGTAAGATTTTGTTCTTCAGCAAATTGAAGACTTGATTGATAAATGTTCTTTGTTAGATTTTATTGGAACGCTTTGCCCTGTGGTGCAGGTAGCATATTAGTAGTTGGAGACAGAATTGGAACCTTCAGTCTTAGGGCCTGGAGCCCACAATCTTGATTGTGTCTCTCTTAAATTAATGAAAGACTTGAATTATGCCTTGCCAGTGAAGCCAATGGGACATTTTGTGTTTGCTTCATCCTACAGTATGTGATCAGGCCTTCACTGCATTAAGAGGATGATTTCTTTAGTTAGGCAAATTAGGACCGAATTAGGACATATTCTGTCCCCACAACATTTTTGATTCCACAGACTGGTGAAATAAAGTGTGTTTGCCCCCACAACTACATGTATGTGTGTGGGTAGGCTGTTCTCCATGAAACGGGACAATTTGAGCTATTAGGAAAGTTGGAACCAAGTTTGGGATAATGCTATTTGGTTCCCTTTATGGCTATATTCAACATTTATAGTCCCCACAACTCAGTATAAATGTGTGTGTTTTTGTCCCTATCCACATGTCTGGCAGTTTTCTCTCTGTAACTTGAGAAGAACTTGACATACATGTACACATGTATAATCAACTTCAAACTCGTATGTGGATTGGTCTTGAGGTAGAGTATAACTATGGTTTGGCGCCATGACACTGATTCTACTGGGTCTCATAACAGGCACAGTGGGCAAATTAAAGGGATACCAGAAATGCTTTCTCCATAGAAAATGACTCTATTTTTTAAGCATCAATGCTTTATAAGCAAGTTTTTCACCAAGATTTGAATTTCGTTACTTTGCACCAGTGAGGCCTGGGTTCGAGTCCTGGCGTGGCCCGGGCTTTAAGTACATTTGGTTTCCAGTCAATTCTCGCTCTTGTAGGTTTTCTTCTAGTACTCTGATTTCCTCTTGCCTCCAAAACTGGACCTTTATCCGAACTTCATAATGTGATGCTGATTAATAAAGGTTATGAATAAATGTATCATTATTGCCACAAATAGCCTTTGTAGCTGAAAGCACCGTTAAAACAAAACAAGAAGAAGAAGAAGATTTGAAGTTTCTCTTCACCTTTCAATAAGTAATAAATTGAAAAGTGGCAATAGGTATCAAGTTGTTTTCAACGGTGCTAGTCTGTTGGGGTGCAGCATTCTTCAAACCATTTGCTGTTGACGTCACATAATTGTCGAGCGCCGTCTAGTGACAGGGTAAAAATTCTGAAAAAGGAAAATTGAATAAATGTCTGTGGTGAAGTTTGTCTAAATTGCCTGGAAATTGATGTGGATGATGATCTTTACCCATTTATTATTAAACGTGAAATTTTTGGTCGATGACATCATCAGACCGGAAGTTATAATAAAAAGTCCTTTTAGTCTTCAAAATTTGCTGAAAAATCAACCGTAACAGATTTAGGCTTGAATTATCCCTTAGATGATAGCTCAGACGTTGAAGTCAACTGCATGAAGTGCATAACTGGTGCATGTGAACTTCTTCACACAAATGAAGTGCAAACAACAAAAACCCCCTTACAGCGTTGGCGAACTTGAGAATCCCATTCGAATACTGTGCATTGACTACCGTGTGCGTGGACACGCAATATCTGCCTTACATGTGTACTCTGAGAGCAGATCACATTATATGGAACATCAAAAGGGACAAATGTTTAAAATTTCTAATCTGTGCTCATTCTGCAATAACAATAATGTTTTGTATTATATTTTGTATTGTACATGTCTTGGTTGAAACCTTGCAGATAAATTGGAAGGAAACGTTCCTAAATGGGGATTAACCTCATGTGATGACAATGTCATCAGCAGACGATTTGCGTGACATTGAAGGTGCATCCTTTAAAGTACCGTATCTCCTGAAGTGCATGTTCGATTGGGTTCAAACTTGGCAGGTACTTAATAATGGAAGTGTTATAGACTAAATTGACCTCATACGATGATGACGTCATCAAATGACATGTCACGTGACATTAAAGGTGCACTATTTGAAACTCTGTATCCCATTGATTTAAAACTTTGCAGATAACAAGGAAAGGAAGTGTTCTGAACAAAAATTTACCTGATGTGATGATGACATCATTAGATAAGGAGTAAAATTAATTGGTCATGGTGGAATAATTACGCCATCAGGCATATGTCAGGTTGTGCAGAGATTGGTTGTTCAAATTAACAAAGGAATGTGAAAAAGCCCTCTGTTCTGTTTGCAAACGGACAGATGACCTCTAGGTTTTTCTTCTTCTGACCCAAACCCCCTTTGTTTTGTACATGGTTTACCTGGCATCGGCTTTTGTTCCTAAACAACTTCGGATCGTTATCAAACTTACATCAATGAAGGACCCTTGTTTTTAGATGTGTCTAGAACAATGACGTAATGATGATGTCATCAAGTGATTTATGATTGATTTTTGAAAATTTAGTTCAGCCCATTGAATATTTAAATATTGTTTTAAATTTTTAAAAATCCATATAAAATCAACTGTGGCCTCTTGCAAGATTCTGTTTACGTCAAGTGGCAGAGTATAATTTGGTCTTTAATTCATCATGTGTTGGTCCCATCACGTGACCCTTCCTTCTGGTTGAAACCAGGAGTGGGCTTATTGTTTAAAAGTGGTGATAACTATTGACTTATTTTCAATGTTGTAAGTCTCATGGGGTAGAGTACTCCTCAAAATATTTACTGATGATGTTCCGCAATTGTCAAGTGCCCTCTAGCAACGGGTTGAAAATTCTGAAAATGAATTTTGAATTGATGTCTGTGGCAAAGTTTATCAGAATCACCTGAAAATTGATATGGATGATGATCTTTACGCAGTTAACACGTGTGAAATTTTGGGCCGATGATGTCATCAGGCCAGAAGTTATAATAAAAAGTCCTTCAGAAAAAAAAGTCAGTATAAAGTAAACTGTAAGAGTTACAAGCATGAATTGTCCATTAGATGGCAGCTAAACCATTGGATTCAACTGCATGAAGTGCATAAAATTGGTGTACTTCTTCATACAAATGAAACGCCAACAACAAAAACTCCTTACAATATTTGTGTACTTGAAAATCCCATCGTGTACTGAGCATTGGCTACTGCGTGTGTGGACGCATAGTTATCTACCTGTAACATAGGCAGCGCACAGTGCGTAGGGCATGTACCCAGGAGTTGGCAAATTTTCAAGCACTTGGCACTGAGAGCAGATCACATTGTGTGGAACACCAAAAGGGAAAAATGTTTGCAATCTCTAATCTGCGCTCTTTCTGTAATAACAAATAATGTTTTGTATTGTTTTTGTATTGTGTATGTACATATCTGATTGGGTTGAAACCTTGCAGATAGTTAGGAAGGGCAGGTATTTACAAAGGGAAGTGTTATAGATTAAGCTTGACGTCATGTGATGATGATGTCATCAGATGATTGTCACATGACATTACAGGTGCACTGTTCAAAGCACTATATCCCATGAAGTACATGTCCGATTGGGTTGAAACCTTGCAGCATGTGAACAAGTAAGACTCCTTTTTAAGTTTATTAACCTGGGTGTCTTTGACAGTTTGTTTGAAAACTTCAAATGTGAAAAAGCCCTGTTAGGCCGTCAGCTGAACCCCTAAATTCTTTTGTTTCGTTCCAGTAACTGCAGGAATAAATTTTCTGAGCAGAATTGAGCACATAAATTACCAGAGATGACAAATGCAAAAGTCCTCGAGAAGTTATCCTGCAGTTTTCTAATAATCTGGGTGGAAAGAGCAAACTATTTTGCCTCGGGGAAGCTCTATGCCTGAAATTTGCCACGTTTAAAAGTTGTTCAGGAATGATGTAATTAGACCACATGATACAAATTGTTCAATCCGAGACTCGAATGCAGGTCGTAGGTCGTGGGTCATGACACAAAGCAGTAAATATGGCGACGTCTGGCAATGCGGATGGCATGTGCCTCAACGTCAACATCGACAAATTTCAGGTGTTTAATGCATGTAGAATCGGTCAAATTTGAAGGTAAAAGCCCTTACAAATGTCCAATGGAGAAAGTTCACTTCATGTGCCAAAGAGTGGCTTGATTTATGCAGCAGAGATTGCGAAATCACTGAACAAACAGAGCGCAAGGGACTACGCGTGATCTGCACAGACTGTGCCTATGGCAAAGCATATGAATTACATAGTTTTTTAAACACCCGAATGCTGCTAGAAAACAGAAGTTACACGATGATTCTCCCTCTGAAGCTTCATCTTCTTCCCGTAAGAAACTCTGGGCTAGATCAAGATTTTCTTCTGGAAGATGACATATCTTGTGTGTTGCCTGTATGTTAACTTGAATGCGTCATGGAGTAAAGTTGAGCTGTTCGTCACTTGACGTGGGAAACGTGTCACAGATAAGCTGTTGCAGGCAGAAATTTCTGATGGAGGTAAGCTGCATTACAATGACATCGCAGTCAGGGAAGGGCGTATTGATTCGAAATTTAATAGTAATTTAGGTCTATCATGTCTATGTTGGTATTTTAGTTTTAGCCCATCATGCCCACCATTGAAGCTGTTTCTAGTAACTTGGACTCAACGAATGGCTCAAAAATGTCTGGAAACAAATAGAATTTAACAAGATAGTTATAAGATTAAGAGCACAAGCAAGATGGTTTAAATTGTATTTCCTTTTATGTTTCTTTTCCAGGAATGTTTTGTCAAGCAGCAGAGAGCAAAAGAGACGAAAATGTTTTGATACACATTTGGGACAAAGATTGTGTTGCTCTGGAGGTTCGATGTCGCACCTCTTGTTACAAATCATACACTCAGATCCTGACAAGGAAAAGCAAGGATCCTGAAGGGTAAGCTGTAGACAATATTTGATTGATGTGCTTTCCTTTTTTTTTACTCATTTTGAAAATATCTCCTTTATTTGGGGGGTGCACAAGAAAACTGACCGGTATGGCACCGGTATGATAGGTTGACAATTATTCAAATTGCCCAGTGCTTACAAAATTGACTCTATAAAATATTCACCTTGACAACCAATGACATTGCATGTAGCAAGAGAAGGTGTTGCATTGGCAGTCTTTGATTTCTACTCTCAAGGTAACAATATTTATACATGTACATCAATAATGGAAGGTAAAATGAGCTGTTGAAGGATCATGTGCATGATTTATTTCATAAATTCACTCATTCTTCTGTTCCAGCCAGTAACTCTCAACATTCTCAACAAACTACATTGGTTACCCATCAAATACAGAATTCAGTTCAAGATCCTCCTCACATTCAAGACACTCCACGGCTCTAGTCCCCTTTATCTTGCAAACATGGTGCAACTCCGCTCTGTCAGGCTGGGTCTGAGGTCAACAA